CATCATCATCATCATCATCTTCATCATCACCCTGATCAACATCATCATCATCACACTAATCATCATCCTCATCATCACCCTCACCCTCCTCTTCATCATCACCATCGCCCTCATATTCATCTTCATCACACCCTCATCATCATCACCATCACCCTCCTCTTCATCATCACCATCGCCCTCATATTCATCATCATCATCATCATCACCCTCATCATCATCACCCTAATCAACATCATCATCATCACCCTCATCATCATCACCCTCCTCTTCATCATCACCATCACCCTCATATTCATCATCTTCATCATCATCATCATCATCATCACCCTAATCAACATCATCATCATCACCCTCATCATCACCATCACCCTCCTCTTCATCATCACCATCGCCCTCATATTCATCTTCATCACACCCTCATCATCATCACCATCACCCTCCTCTTCATCATCACCATCGCCCTCATATTCATCATCATCATCATCACCCTCATCATCATCATCATCATCACCCTGATCAACATCATCATCATCACACTAATCACCATCCTCATCATCAACCTCACCATCACCCTCACCCTCCTCTTCATCATCACCATCACCCTCATATTCATCACCATCATCACCCTAATCATCACCCTCACCATCATCATCACACTCATCATCGTCACCATCATCATCACACTCATCATCACCCTCATCGTCATCATCATCACCCTCATCATCATCATCATCACCCTCATTACCATCACCATCACCACCCTCATCATCACACTCATCATCACCCTCATCGTCAACATCATCACCCTCATCATCATCACCACCCTCATCGTCATCATCATCACCCTCATTACCATCACCATCACCACCCACATCATCACATTCATCATCGTCACCATCATCATCATCACACTCATCATCGTCACCATCATCATCACACTCATCATCGTCACCATCATCATCACCCTCATTACCATCACCATCACCACCCTCATCATCACACTCATCATCACCCTCATCGTCATCATCATCACCCTCATTACCATCACCATCACCACCCTCATCATCACACTCATCATCGTCACCATCATCATCACACTCATCATCGTCACCATCATCATCACCCTCATTACCATCACCATCACCACCCTCATCATCACACTCATCATCACCCTCATCGTCATCACCACCCTCATCGTCATCATCATCACCCTCATTACCATCACCATCACCACCCACATCATCACATTCATCATCACCCTCATCGTCATCACCACCCTCCTCTTCATCATCACCATCGCCCTCATATTCATCTTCATCACACCCTCATCATCATCACCATCACCCTCCTCTTCATCATCACCATCGCCCTCATATTCATCATCATCATCATCACCCTCATCATCATCATCATCATCACCCTGATCAACATCATCATCATCACACTAATCACCATCCTCATCATCAACCTCACCATCACCCTCACCCTCCTCTTCATCATCACCATCACCCTCATATTCATCACCATCATCACCCTAATCATCACCCTCACCATCATCATCACACTCATCATCGTCACCATCATCATCACACTCATCATCACCCTCATCGTCATCATCATCACCCTCATCATCATCATCATCATCACCCTCATTACCATCACCATCACCACCCTCATCATCACACTCATCATCACCCTCATCGTCATCATCATCACCCTCATCATCATCACCACCCTCATCGTCATCATCATCACCCTCATTACCATCACCATCACCACCCACATCATCACATTCATCATCGTCACCATCATCATCATCACACTCATCATCGTCACCATCATCATCACACTCATCATCGTCACCATCATCATCACCCTCATTACCATCACCATCACCACCCTCATCATCACACTCATCATCACCCTCATCGTCATCATCATCACCCTCATTACCATCACCATCACCACCCTCATCATCACACTCATCATCGTCACCATCATCATCACACTCATCATCGTCACCATCATCATCACCCTCATTACCATCACCATCACCACCCTCATCATCACACTCATCATCACCCTCATCGTCATCACCACCCTCCTCGTCATCATCATCACCCTCATTACCATCACCATCACCACCCACATCATCACATTCATCATCATCACCATCATCATCACACTCATCATCACCCTCATCGTCATCATCATCACCCTCATTACCATCACCATCACCACCCTCATCATCACACTCATCATCGTCACCATCATCATCACACTCATCATCGTCACCATCATCATCACACTCATCATCGTCACCATCATCATCACCCTCATTACCATCACCATCACCACCCTCATCATCACACTCATCATCACCCTCATCGTCATCACCACCCTCATCGTCATCATCATCACCCTCATCATCACCCTCATCATCACCCTCATCGTCATCATCATCACCCTCATTACCATCACCATCACCACCCTCATCATCACACTCATCATCACCCTCATCGTCATCACCACCCTCATCGTCATCATCATCACCCTCATTACCATCACCATCACCACCCACATCATCACATTCATCATCATCACCATCATCATCACACTCACCATCGTCACCATCATCATCACCCTCATTACCATCACCATCACCACCCTCATCACCACCCTCATCATCACACTCATCGTCATCACCACCCTCATCGTCATCATCGTCACCCTCATTACCATCACCATCACCACCCTCATCATCACACTCATCATCGTCACCCTCATTACCATCACCATCACCACCCTCATCATCACACTCATCATCGTCACCCTCATTACCATCACCATCACCACCCTCATCATCACACTCATCATCACCCTCATCGTCACCCTCAATGTCATCACCCTCATTTCCGATCACTTCCCTCATCATCACCCTCATCGTCACCCTCATCGTCATCATCGTCACCCTCATTACCATCACCATCACCACCCTCATCATCACACTCATCATCACCCTCATCGTCATCACCACCCTCATCGTCATCATCGTCACCCTCATTACCATCACCATCACCACCCTCATCATCACACTCATCATCACCCTCATCGTCATCATCATCACCCTCATTACCATCACCACCCTCATCGTCATCATCATCACCCTCATTACCATCACCATCACCACCCACATCATCACATTCATCATCATCACCATCATCATCACACTCACCATCGTCACCATCATCATCACCCTCATTACCATCACCATCACCACCCTCATCATCACACTCATCATCACCCTCATCGTCATCACCACCCTCATCGTCATCATCATCACCCTCATTACCATCACCATCACCACCCACATCATCACATTCATCATCATCACCATCATCATCACACTCACCATCGTCACCATCATCATCACCCTCATTACCATCACCATCACCACCCTCATCATCACACTCATCATCACCCTCATCGTCATCACCACCCTCATCGTCATCATCGTCACCCTCATTACCATCACCATCACCACCCTCATCATCACACTCATCATCGTCACCCTCATTACCATCACCATCACCACCCTCATCATCACACTCATCATCACCCTCATCGTCACCCTCAATGTCATCACCCTCATTTCCGATCACTTCCCTCATCATCACCCTCATCGTCACCCTCATCGTCACCCTCATCGTCATCACCCTCATTACCATCACCACCCTCATCATCACTCTCATCGTCATCACCACCCTCATCGTCATCATCATCACCCTCATTACCATCACCATCACTACCCTCATCATCACACTCATCATCACCCTCATCGTCATCATCACCACCACCATTATCCTTATAATCATCACCCTCATCATCGCCATCCTTAATATTATCATCACCTTCATCATCGCCATCCTCTTCCTCCTCGTCATCATCATCATCATCATCATCATCGCTAGATGGGATGAAGAATAGTGCAATAATAATTTTCTTATTTTTTCCTTTTTCCTATATTCTGAATAATTTTGGTTATTTAATTTTAAGTTAGAATAATAATAATATTTAATTTATACTTTAATTATTGTGTTTTAACTGTGAAACTTATTGTAACTGCGTCTCCTTTGAAAACGTATTTTTCAATATCAATGAGATTTCTTCCTGGGTGAATAAAGGTTAACTGAAATCCAAATAATAATTATAAAAACAACAACAACAACAACAATAATACTAATAATAATGTTATCATTATCATTATTATTATAATGAATGTTATATTAATGTTGCTGCCAACATAAACCTAGATTACCACCGGGTCTTCCACAGTCTTGGTTTCCTTTCACCATTATTCAAACATTTTTCCAGAGCCAGATTTATTTGAAGTGACTCATCGTTGGTGACAAAGGTTAACGCGTTCTTCTTTCTCATCTGACATTGAAAGGGTTCAACTTATCGAGCTGATGTGACTCCATTCTCCTATTGGATCAAACCGGCCAAAGAGCCAAGGTCGTCCCTTTGAAACTGCGCTGAGAGCCTCTGTGTTTGGACCCGCTGCTGCAGCAGAACCTTCCAGCAGCTGCAGGGAGCTGAAGGCTGTAACTCTATCCGTTTGTAGTTACTGCAGCTTTTGTTTACGCCTAGGCTGATCGCCTCCTGTATTTGACTGGAGAACACACTCAACATTGATGGTATCTTAAACTATTGCAACTCACAGCTAGTCAGCAAAAGTAATTGTTGACTTTGTTTTAAGAAACAACTGGAAAATAAAATAGGCCCTCACTGCCTGCAGTATTCAGATCCTCCACTAGGGGACAAAAATATGATTCAGTAGGTTTTTGAGGGATGAACTAGCCCTGAAAATGAGAAAGATAGGATAAAGTCAGATTTAAATGGGTTAATTTCACTCAACAGGATGTCCTACAACCCCTAAAATGAAGTCCTGAACAGGTTTTATATTTATTGTCAGCGTGGGGTTTTTGTGTTCCACCTACGTGGGCCATCTCTTGGAGAGTAGTTGAGGAAGCAGAAGCCAAGCATCATCAACACGGCCGTTCTCCAGGTAATTTTCCTCAGCAGCTGCAGGCGAGTAACTCCTCTCCTCTGCATGGAGCTGATGGCCAAAACCACTGAAGTGCCAATTATAAACACAAACCTGGCAACCACATCGGCCGTGAGTTAAAAGCAGTATCCATCCAGGGTAAATGTTAAACCCGACCCAAAAGCCAGACTCACCAGGGCATCACCAGATCTGCCACCATGAGACCTGCAACGGGTTGAGAAGGAAGAAACCCCAGCTAAGTGCTGCATTTAGGAAGCAGATAAATATTATTATTGTTTTTTAATTCAAGCACGTTGAACTGGCTGTGCATGAAATGTGCTGCATAAATAAAGCTGCCTTGCCTTTATAAGTATTAATACATTTATTTTAGGTGCAGTTACTGGCATCCATCCATCCATCCATCCATCATCCATCACCCAGCTAGTATTCATACGTCCATCATCCATTAATTCATCCATCCATCCATCCATCATCCATCCAGCATCCATCACCCAGCTAGTATTCATACGTCCATCATCCATTAATCCATCCATCCATCCATCCATCCATCATCCATCCAGCATCCATCACCCAGCTAGTATTCATACGTCCATCATCCATTAATCCATCCATCCATCCATCCATCCAGTCAACCAGGTAGCATCCATCCATCCATCCATCCATCCATCCATCCATCCAGGTAGCATCCACCCATCCATCCAACCAGCAGCCATCCATCCATCCATCCATCCATCCATCACCCAGCTAGTATTCATCCGTCCATCATCCAGCTAGTATTCATCCATCCAGTATCCATTAATCCATCCATCCATCCAGTCAACCAGGTAGCATCCATCCATCCATCCAGCATCCATTAATCCATCCATCCATCCAGTCAACCAGGTAGCATCCATCCATCCAGCCATCCAGCCAGCCAGGCAGCATCCATCCATCCATCCATCCATCCGTCCATCCATCCATCCAGCCAACCAACCAACCAGCATCCATCCATCCATTATTCAGCCAGTATTCATCCATCCATCCATCCATTATTCAGCCAGTATTCATCCATCCATCCATCCATAATTCAGCCAGTATTCATCCATCCATCCATCATTCAGCCAGTATTCATCCATCCATCCATCCATCATTCAGCTAGTATTCATCCATCCATCCATCCAGCATCCATCCATCCATCCATCCAGCATCCATCCATCCATCATCCAGCCAGTATTCATCCATCCACCCATCATTCAGCTAGTATTCATCCATCTATCCAACCAGCATCCATCCATCAATCCATCCATCCATCCAGCATCCATCCATCCAGCATCCATCCAACCAGCATCCATCCATCCATCCATCATTCAGCTAGTATTCATCCATCCATCCATCCATCCATCCATCCATCCATCCATCCATCCAATATCCATCCATCAATCCATCCATCATCCATCCATCCATCATTCAGCTAACATTCATCCATCCATCCATCCATCCAGTATTAATTCATCCATCCATCCATCCATCCATCCATCCAGCATCCATCCATCCATCATCCAGCCAGTATTCATCCATCCACCCATCATTCAGCTAGTATTCATCCATCTATCCAACCAGCATCCATCCATCCATCATCCAGCCAGTATTCATCCATCCACCCATCATTCAGCTAGTATTCATCCATCTATCCAACCAGCATCCATCCATCAATCCATCCATCCATCCAGCATCCATCCATCCATCCATCCAGCTAGTATTCATCCATCCATCCATCCAGCTAGTATTCATCCATCCATCATCCAGCTAGTATTCATCCATCCATCCATTCAGCCAGCATCCTTCTCTCTCTCCAACCCATTCTCCATCCCATAATTCACCCGTCCATCCATGGGATCCAATTCCTATCTTACAATTTCTAGCTTCCAGAACAGCCTCAGTTTGGAGAAATACCTTACATGCAACAGGACTGATGAGCTAACCGCTAGTCTGAACAATACCAAGATCAAAGTGTTTTGCTGCCACCTTAAAACAGTTTCAGTTAAACGTCACAAATGTTATAACAAACATAAACCTTTACAAAAGTGTTAATTTTTCAGGGGTCATCCAGGGGTCACGTCTGGCAGGAATTACTTCATAAACCAGATGAATGTAAAACAGGTTTACTTAAACAATGTTTGCAATGAAAAGCAGAAACAATAAGAACAAAACAGTTTTAAGATGGCAGCAACGGCCATAGTTTTGGTTGGTTTGAACGAGTCTGACTCAGCAGTGTGTGTGTGTGTTCTGAAGCATCATTTATCATAATTAGTTACAACAGGTGGGGTGTGTGTTGCACATGAGTAATGGCGTTTGGCTGTGCACAAGATACTCTTATTTTGAAGCTCCCAGGTTTTTTTTTTGCTTTACGTCACCATTCCAAGGAGCGTGTTGGAAGAACCAGTAGCCTCCTCCTCCGTAGTTCACAAACACCATGACTGTGATGGCAAACCTTCAAAGAAAACCACAGTGATGAGTCCACACGCTGGAGCTTCAGTAAGGTTCAAACGGCTCAAGTCACAAAAACAAAGACAGAATACGTTTGACAAAATAAAAGGGCTTATTTTGACAGTTTCTGTCAAAATAATGAAACCTGCACAGAAACTTGAATTTAAAAATATTTTAACATTAAAACAAAACACAACAAAGTAGCAAAAATACCGGGGATCCAAAGAAACAGCGGTAAAAAGACAGACTGTGATTGAAAACTGACCATGATGTGACTTTTATTGCGTCACTACTCCAAAAGCTTGGTAATGCAGCCTAAGCATTATGAATCACTTAGGAAATGAACACTTGTCCTCTGCAGCTCCTCATGCAGCTTTGCTGACTAAACACTTTGTGTTTAATACTCGACCACACACTTTCTTCTGAAGCTCTGGTGACTGCTGAAACGTAGCGTGCTTTCAACCAGACGTGGTGCTTGTGTCGCACCCCAGAGCGCCGTTACGCAGCACAAACCTCTCAGGGGAACGCATGCGGTGCTCCGAGAAATTAAATGCTTGAATTTGTGCTTCGAAAAATAATTAATCCATGCAGGGTCTTTAAGAGACGTAATAAAATCAGAGCAACCTTTAAGACTGAGACTATCTGATACGGAGCACTGTATCTACCTCTGCCTCCTCTTGTTTTTCCTGCCTGGAATCAATTAAGAGCAGCACTGAAGCCATTACGGCTCTTTCAGCCCCAACCTGCTGATACGAGATTAAAATCGTCTGCTATCATCTCCACAGGGCTATTAAAGCTGAGCAACCCCCCCATGCACGTGTCTGTGTGCTCTCACAGGTACACTCTTAGCCTGTCGTTTGAAATTTGGAGAACATGTCCATTAGTTGCCATGGTAACGCAGGCAAAGGTTAAACCTGCCAGAGGAGGACTTGTGAAACATCAAAGCCGTACTGGTGGCGATTTTAATAAAAAAAAAATTAAAAAAAAGATTTTCTTTTGGAAATGAGAGCGATAGAAGAAAATGATGGCGGCGCTTCGCTAATGCAGACCACGCCTATTCTAGTAGGGTGAAAATGGAGGAGTGGGAAGTAGTCTGGCTGGAGTTCAAGGAGGCTCATCGCCATCACTGAGGCACAAAGACAATGGAGGGGGAGGGGCAAAGCTGTGGAAGGAGGTGATTTAAATGGCCCTTTGCACATGACGTCATGCCGTTCATGGGACCGCCCCCTTCTCCATGATGGACAGCAGAGAAACTGTTTACTCACATTAAAACTCCTGTCCAGCTAGTCAAAAAAAGCCTGTTTGAAGCCTTTTTCGGCCTTTCTTTGGTTGATTTTGCAGTAACACTTTACTGCACAGTTGGCTGCACTAACAAAAACTTTTGAATAACTTGGACAGCAGCCCTCAAAGTATGTCTGGATTTACAGCAAACACGTTTTACCAGGTGAGATTAAAGCTACAATGGCACATTTGGAAAACAAATTTGCTTAAAACATATTTTTTTGTGCCTCGTAACAAGTTTCTAACATAGTATAGCTTTAAATATATTGTGTAGATAAAACTTTTTTTTAAATCAAAAAATTGGTTCTCTCGCATTTGTCTAAAAACCTCCACCAACAACATGTTTTGGACAGAGAGCAAGAGCAACCGCTGAACCATCCGGTTATCGGTCTCACCGAACTGCCACACTCCTGTATTCCCCTGGGTTACGCACTCTTTAACAGAACACCAGTGGTGTGAGAGGTTCTCAGCTCAATAATGTCAGAGAAGTAGAAACAGCCGGCTGCTACCACTTCAACTTTAAGAAAAACTACCAGAGTCCCAAAAAGAAAAACACAGTTCTAAGTCATGGACAACAAAAGACATTTGGACCAAGAAAACATCAACTGGTGTTTAGCACCATCTCGTTTCCTCCAGCGTCGTGGGTTTCCGGTTCCGTTAGAAACCAAGATACCCGAGGGGAGGGGTGAGTGTTCCGTGGCCGTGTTTACGTTTAAAACCTAGCTTGTTTTGTTGATTCACTAAAGCAGCTTTAAAGAGCAAGTCACCCCCTACAAGAAACTTACTTCACTCCCTCTTCATGTTTAAAAAAATGCAACAAATGCTGTTGCCTAGCAGAACGAGAGGGTGGAGCCGCTAACAAATACACACACACACAGGCTTACAACGGCATTGTGACATCATAATGTACCAGTTTACATCTTAGCAAACCTCTTAGCCAATAGCGGTGGCAGATTAAAATGCAAATGCAGTGCAGAGGTTTTACCTGACAATGGCACAACACTGACAGTTTTGGGCAGAATATTTAAATTGGAACTAAGAAGCACTAAAGCGCTAAATCATTGACTACACGTGTCTGCAGCCCAATTAGACACACATTTATATAGTTTATCAGCAAAAAAAGTTGATTTGGGGGTGACTTACTCTTTAACATTCATATATTTCATGAGGCAGGGGCTAACTGGGATGAGCCTGAAATGATGCATGGGTAAGCGGGTGAAGAAAACTAACAGATGGGTGACAATGCTTCATTCAACTGTAGAGGACGTACGTTACAGTCCACTAAAGTTACCGTTAGTGACATACTAATATTGCTCCAATGTAAGATTACATGTGTGAAAATTATGTTACTTGAGTTTCGCCATTATGAGATATCTATGTGCCCCACCCCGGTGTAAGAGCTGAACCCGGTGACCCCGCCAGCAACAAAAACCGATGAGGATTCAGACTTTTCTAGTTTATTTTTTAAGTCTGCTTCAGTATAAAGTGAAACGTTTTTTATCACATGATGTCATAAATCCAGCAGGGTCAATTCTGGCAAAGTCAGCAAGCACTTGTTTACATCAGTGGACAGCAGCAGGGACAACGTAAGCTAACGTTTGTTAGCTAGCTAACACTAAAGGTTGGTTTATGCTTGACGCGTCCGCGAGGTTGCACGGCTCCGCACGGCAAAATTGCGTCATTTTAACAACCACGCCCCTCCACCTGGCCTCCGCACGGCCCAAACTTTCCACACCGCGCACCTAGGAAATTTTCTAACCACTCAGACGGTCGAACACAGAAAAACATGGCGGACTGGCAAGAACTATGTAACGTGATGAAGGAGCTATTCCTCAAGGTTATTTAACCTCTTTCTACAGTTGCCTCTGACACAGCGCCCGAGTGCATGAGACAGCCTCAAGGTCATGCATTTGCTTCTAAACTGTTTACTTTCCAGCAAAAGAAGAAAGATGAAGAGACTCTTTTATTAAATCAAAGAACTATTTTTAATGAAGCTAATCAAAACAACTGTTAGTCCATAATACAATGTGACCGATCTGTGAAATCACAATGTTATGATTCATATGTTTTTAATAAGTAATATGACTTATTCTAGTTCAACCAAGCAACGGTTCCTTTCAGAGTAAAAGCTGAACTCGCTGACCCAAGGAGGGTCCCCTTTTGACGCTGTGAACCACCTGTCGCTTTTTACCTGGAGACTATCCAAAGAGACTGGTTTGTCGTGCTGTGACGCTGTTCCATCGGCTCCGGTACCAGAGGAGGGTCTGTGGACCTGGCATCCGGATCTGTACGGAGGTCTCATTCTAAGGGTAGGTGTGGATGCGACAATATGGCGTCTCATGTGTTTATGACTACAAGTCTCAAACTGTGATCAGTTAGAAGCAAAACATCATCCCACTCAGACTTGCCTCTCCGGATACGAGAGTTCTGATAATAACACGACTCACACACACCGTCCATCTCACACCTCATTCAAACAGAACATCCATCATTAGAGAGTTGGTATTGTTAAATTGTTTAAAATTATTTAGTAATAAATCATCTTAAAAGTTTGAAGGTCTCTCTCTTCTCTTGTCTCTCAGTTAATACAAAGTGTTATCTAATCCCTGCATTAAAAAGTTCCAATCTTCTGATTTCATAACCCAGTGGTCCGTAGATGGACTTCATACTCGATGTTAAATTTTAATGTCTTACGGTCCTTAATTAAATGTAAATTACTATCATTACAACTAGTTATGGCAGAGTTTGCAAATACAGACATTTGTATTATTCAGCTCTCAAAGATCACCGTGATCAACATGTTGTTAATAATTATTGAAGAGAAATAGCTCGCACTGTCGAAAAAGACGAGGACGCTGTTAAAAAATGCTGAAAAAACACGAGGGACCGATATGTGGAGGCAAGGAAGGGGAACAAACGGAAAAGCGGTGATCCTGGTGGAAACAAGAACACTCCACCAATTCTAAAAGAGCTGAGTTGGCTCTCAACTTTCATTAACAACTGTTGTAGACAACAGTAATTTCTACTTCTACTATGGTGAGGTGTTGGATGCATGCCGTAGAGCTCCATGCTGCCCCCTACAGTTTGGGAGAATATTGGCTCACCGCAGAGACAAGCTGCATGCACCATAAACGCTGCAAGTTGTGAAGTGCTTTCCATCCGCGAGCCGCATCACCACACGTTAAGTAAATGCGTCAAGAATAAACCAAGCTTTAGCTTTTATATATACCGCTCCGTATGAGCCCCACCTAGGTGTACTAAATCTCCCCACGGTTGAACTGAGCTTGAAACAGTAGTCGCCTCTTTTGCCCTCTGTTCTCTCCCGTAATTCACTGTTCACTATGCTGCACCCACGTGATCAGGCGACGTAGGTGCAAAGGGTCAATACTGCGAGTGGACGTGTGGTCTCCAAAATGGCCTGAAAAAGTCATTTCAGTCCGGCGATCGCTTGACGAGTTTTTGATTTCTGTCGTGTCAAAGCTGAGCAGACCTTCCCCCAATCCTGTCTGATTTGTTCACATCCCAGTGAAGCTCACCAGTAGACAATTCATGTTCGGGAGTCGGTCTCTATGATTTATAGCTGCTGGATTAAAGGAAGACTCAATGATGGACGCTCATGGCCTTCTGTTATTTGAATCATCGCACGTGTATTATCAATCAGAGAACAAGGTTTGCACTTGTCTCCGTCGCTTCATCCTCACAGAGCAGCAGTGATTTACCAGCTGTGCTGGCGAAACACACCAACACTCGATATCAGAATACATCAGAACTGGAGTTGAACAGAAGCCAAGATTATTTTTATTATTGCGGCTAAACGTCAGAAGCAAACTTAGATCTTAGTCAAAACAAGAACCAGGATGAGTCAGCTCTCTGGTTCTAGACCCCCGGAACTGTTGTCCCGTAACAACCAACAGAGCGATTTTCCAACAGTGGAAAAACGGGTGGAAGGCTTTTAGCAGCAGGGCACATGATTAAAATCCAAATCCTTGTAGAAAAGTAAACGCCCACCCATAACCCGCATTTCTCTGTATATGATGTCGTGCAGAGCCCAGTTAATGAACAGAAATAGCTTTCAGCTCAGAAGGAAAGCCTGTTGCCTTCAGAAACGTCCCAGCGTTTACGGCAAGTGACGGATGTGTCTGTTCTCTGTGACTAACTGCTGCTCATCGGAGTTATGGACCATAAGTCACAGGGCTGAGCAGACACTTGTGGCATTGCTTCTGAGTTTGATTAACTGTCTTGTCAGGTTTGAGTTTCCAGCATCTCCACTCAAGAGCATCAATATGTGACAGTTGTCTTCTGCTGCAGGGGCGTGTCCAGGAAGAGGCCTAAGAGAGGTAGCACATGCCACCCTTGAAATCTGACCCCCCCCCCCCCCAGGTGCCACCCCACTGAGATCCATTTAAATTGACTTTGCATTGTCCACAAGACAAGATCCATCCATCCATTTTCATCCGCTTATCCGGAGTCGGATCGCAAGACAAGATTTGGGATTATAATCCTCCAAACTGTAATGGGCCATTCCCATCTGTACCGGGTCGGCCCAGGCCGGGTAGCGTAGGTTGTTTACATATCTGGGTGGCCTGGTATTTTTCCGGGCCAACCAAGGCTCATTCTCAGCCCTCTTCTCGAGGGGGTCTGCTTCAGGCCGACCAGGGCCAACACACCCACTGCTGACAGCAAATTCACACCTTCCATTAGAGCAAGCCTCTGATTGGTGGGTAGAATCAGCCCACATGGGCTTAAGACAAGGATGTGTGGAATCAACCGGGCCAGGCTGGGGCCGACTGGGGCTACCCGGCCCGGGCCGACCCGGTACAGATGGGAATGGCCCATAAGTGGCAGCATGTAGACCCAGGCCTACAGAACATTCCAGTTGGTGGCGGTAATGCACCAAGAAATGGCTTGTTAACCACCACAAAACAGCTTGAAGAAGAAGATGAATGAGGAGAGAGAATTGGTCATGAGGAATTCACAAGTTCACTAGAATTTAGAAAGAAAAAAGCATTACCATAGGTGCCACCCATGCATAAACAAATGCCCCACCTGGGCCACCCCATTTTAAAATGCCTGGAAACGCCTCTGTTCCGCTGCCAGCTCAATATATAGCTCAGCTAAACCTGTTTAAACTGAGTTGTTGATGCAAAAATATGGATATTTTGCTAATGCAGCAGACAAAGATTGTGAAAACACTTTTTCAGCAGTGGATCAAAAGCTATCGAGCTCCTAAACTAGATAAATTTGCAGTATTTTGAATTAAACACGTGTCCTTAATGGTCTCTTTCCTGAAGTCGTCGGCAGGACTAGAGTGTTGCTGCGTTTCCTCTCCCTCTCAGGTTTGGCAGCAGATCCACGGCCATGTGGACGTGTGCTGATATGTCGACGGTATTATTACATCAATTATTTGGCAAAGGGGGAAGTCAAAGCCACACCAGCATCCTGTTTGCAGAGAGGCGTGCTTTGTGTCTACCCCGAGGGCCACAATTACAGCCAGCAGAGACCCCAGATTCAATCACATGCATCACTCCCCGTCCAACAAAAACACTCTGTTCCAAACCCGAGACGCAGCAATATCAGAAATCATGCCCAAAGCTACAGCGCCTGATAACAGAAAGCTTTGAGGGAGCGCGTGGCCAGACTCTGACCCCTATAATTATTCATTATGCAGGGCCTGTAGATTGTCATCGTGCCTCCAAAAAGAAATACAGCATGTGGTGATAGACTGATAAACAAGATGGTTGTTGATGGCATACGTACCCTCTGAATGTGTCCAGAGAGAGCAGGCGAGACGATTTAGCCTTAACGGTATCGTGCACAGATTCACAGCTGTCCTGGGAGAATGACAGCAGGAAGACAGATTCAGGCCAGCAAGCTGAGGGTCATATCAGGTGAAATGGCTTGCTTTTGATGATTTTTCTGCAAAAGTTTGGTTATTTCTGTCTGTTAATTGCAAAAAATAAGGTATAAACAATTTGGATTGTGTGTAGTTTATATTAAAAAGAGTAAATATAATTCAAGCAGTTTAAAAGGAAGATGTCAAGAAGAGAAATGCGTAATTCAAAATTGTCATATCTAAAAAGTAGAATTCATTACATTTTCTTGTACATGACGTATGAAAATAAACAAAATTACAGTAAGTTTTATTTTATACTTAGACATTAAGAGCTGTACTGAGATGAATCTGATGCCATCTTGCAGCAACATCACCAGCACATGCGTGAAAATCCTTTACCAGGTCATGAATCTGGTCAATTATTTACTAACAGATCAGAAAAGAAGTGGGCCAAGAACTAAGCCTTGTGGCACACCTGTATTCAAGTTAAGAAAATATTTATCCTGGAACATTTTGCCATTAATGTTTAAAGGGAAACTAGGCAGTTTTGGCTTGCTTTTAGCACCCCCTAGTGTCCGTTTGAAGAACCGAAAGCAAAACCAATCTCTTCGCTGTGCAATCGTCTTTTTACAACCTTAATCAGCTAAATGTCTCCTCAGCCTTTCTTAGTGTCTTCAGGAGTGATTCATCACTAAATTAAACAAATCAGCTGTGTTCACGATCTAAAACATGCAGGAAACGTGCTGGAAGCAGACTGCGGAACAGGTACTTCAGCTCATTTTTTTTAAGTCACAACTGGCAGACCAGCAACTATGACGTTGCAAGTGGAATATTCTGTCCACAGGGGGCGATAGGAGCGGAGTGGCCTTTCATTAACCTTGTAAAGAGTCACAGGGGTATTCAATTTCAGCCCTGGAGGTCCGGTGTCCAGCACATTTTAGTTTTAACTCTGCTTCAACACACCTGATTTCAATCAGCAGGTGATTAACGGGCTTCTGCAGAGCCTGATGAGCTGCTGCACAGCCGAATCAAGTGTGTTTAATTCAGAGAAACCACTAAAACGTGCTGGATACCGGACCTCGAGGGCCCCATAATGGTTCACGAAAATTATTTAAAACTATGAAAAAGTTGCATAGTATGCCTTTAAACCTTTAAGACCATGACTTCAGTGAAAACATCGATGAAACGCTGATGTCTCTGTGCTCCCGTTGCTTCCATGATCCAGCTCCACAGTGACTGGCCTGTTGCCCTCTCAGTTGGATTAGCCTGACTTTCTGGCCTCCGTGCAGCAGTTTAAAGTGCCAGAGCAGGAAGACACCAACACTAATATGCCATGATGGATCTATGAGCCATCCAGACAGCATATGGAAGCCAGAGATGTCTCCCTTAGTCCAAAGAGAAGATCCATTCATGCTCAACAAAAATACACAGCAGCTTTTGCCATGACAAGAGACAATTGGATGGATGCAGCAGTCTACTGCTACTGCACAACTGGCTCTGCTTACATTTGTATCAATCATTCCATTAGTGTCTCCAAAATGGCTTGATGACTGGAGTCTCAGAGCAATTTTGGTATGCATCTCAGGCTGCAAGGAAGGCCAATGAAAATGCTGTAATGTAGCTGTTGGGTCGAGGCAGTGTTTGTGTTTGATCGGGAAAAAAGTTTAAAGTCAATCATCTGCTGCTGGACGAGAATAAAAACAAACTAAGTATTTTAACACAGCTGAGAATCGGGTTTACAGGAAACTATAGGGCACCAATCACAAAATTAAACATTCATAAATGAACAGACCTGTTTGACCTCATCCAGACTTCAATAACTCAAGTTAACATAAATCTAAATGCATGAAATTTGACTTAAAATTACGCAAGTTAAATCTAAATATTAAAATCAATAATTTAATCTATGGATTTAAAATTAAGTCCATGTAAATGAATGGAGCTTTAATTATTGTCAGATTTTAATCTAAAAATATAAGTTTGACTAAAATAAAAAGACTCTAATCTAAATATAAAAAGGTAAATTTACTATAAAATAGAACTCTATTAATGTAAAGAAAATCTAAATATGAAGTAAAGCCTAAATTTTAATCTAAAGGTAAATCTATGCATTTAGAATCAAATCTACATATATGAATTACATTTTTTATATTTTTACATTCTAATCTAGAAATATAAGTTTCAGATAACTTTCAGAACTTGTATCTACATCTAAACATTTATAATAAAACTAAATAATTTAAAAGTTATTCAAATCTATGCAAATTAAGTCAAGTCTAAATTTAAGCTTAAATAAAATGACTAAATTTGACTTAAATATTAAGAATTGTATAATATATAGATATGTCTAAATTATAAAATCTAATTCATAAACATCCATCTATTTAGAATGAAATCTGACTTTTAATATTTAGATTTAAATCTAAACAAACAAGATTTGACATGAAAGTTTGAGACTTGTACCAAAATATGCTCAGGTAATGATTAGATGTAAATGTAAATACAGAAGGCCTAGGTTGAATATTTAAAACTTACATTTTAAATAGACTAGGGTAAATCTAAATATGTAAAATCAAATCTAGTTTACAAACCTTTATTCATCTCAGTGTAATAGGTGCAGTTTCCCACTAAATATTTAGCTGATGTGCAAATTCAGAGTACCATAAAACAGAACTGGCACTCCAAAAGAAAAGTTAGATGAAGAGATCCCCCATCTAAGGTCCGAGTCCTTTCATTGGTCACTGAGGATTCCAGTCCATGGATTTGTCTAGATTTTATATTAAATATTTAAATTTAACATTATGCATTTAGATTTTACCTGAATGACTTTGATGTTGTATGTTAACATGAATCACAGTCACACACATTAGAAACTTCTAAATAAATGTGGTAACAGAGTGAACTAAAAAATGGCACCTATTTAATTTTTGATTGTATTACTTTACAACCAGCGCCTCATAAGACAGCTCCCACAATGGTCAGAGCGTGGAAGTCCTCTCATCCACTTATAATCTAGATCATACTGTACATCCAATTCCTTTCATCAGGGTATTAATCTAATGCTTTCAGTATGTTACTTACATCTTCCAAAGAGTACTGTGGACCTTGGCAGCAAATGGTCTTAATAAACTTTGATGTACAATGTCTCCTAATAAGAAAATAGAAAGGAAGTAATGTTTCGATAAAAGTGCAGGGAGGCATTTAACTCCTGGATGTTAGATATACGTGTACCTGCAGATGTAGGGTGTCGCAACAAATAGGAGAGCAATTATAGCCAGTAGGAGAGCAGCCACCAGGAGAGCTGGAAAAGAAAGAAATTATCCAATCAGGTCACCATGGCAATGGGCTAACCCGTGGCTCCGTGGCAGTCAGGTTGTGTTAAAGACAAACTCTTCAGTGGCAAAGCTAGAACCTCCCTTAAACCCCTGCAGGCATTTACACGGAAAACTCAACTACTAAGAGAATATAAACACAAATAGAGCTGAATGAGGAAGATTGAGAGACATTTAGCTTGTGTGGAATATTTTTGTGTAAATGGCTTGCTGAACTGCCTCAGTAGGGAGAAATAAAGTTTACACCACATAGGAGAACCAGATGTGGAAACATGGGCCCTCATTTATGAAATGTTAAGTGTTTGTATGAGAGGCCAAAATCCTGATTAATGTAACAAGCGGCGGCCTCTCGTATGTACGTTCCTCCGCAATAGACTTTAAAGAGCAAGTAACGTCTAAATTAACTTTTTTTTGCTGATGAACTGTATAAATGAGTGTCTAATAGTGTTTTAAATGTGTGCATTCTTTATTTTAGCATTTTGGTGCATTTTCTTTAAAAATTCTGTCTAAAAACCACAGTAATGCGCCACCTTCAGCTGAAAACATAGAATTTAAGTCATTTTGAATAAATTTTAGCCAATGGCTAAAGAGTAAAGTACTACGTAAACCAGTAGAGTACTACGTAGCAGCTCCGTGCCAAAGTTATAAAAGCAACGAGCGTCTCGGCCACGCCCTGTGGCGAGTGGGAGTTGGATTTGCAAGCGAGTGTAGGAGGTCAGCGGTAGTTCAGCATTAGCATATAGCATTAGCATATCCTAGTCTTTAGCATAGCTTTTAGTGTTATAAATACTTATTTAGTGTTAGCTTGGCTGTTGTATATTGTAGTTTAGTTAGTGTTTGGCTGTTAGTGTAATTGGGAAAGTATTTCGGGTTTAGTGTTCCATATCGTCTTAGTATTGGTGAGTAGGTGTAGTGTAGTATGCTTGTGGTGACTCTGGGCATTTTACCCGCGATTCTGCACGCCTCCGTTTGAAGAGGGAGGCTGTGCCCACCGTGGCTCTTCCGCGATTTAGATGCAGCCCACCGACTCTGCTCCCCCACCACGGCGGGCTCCAGTCTGAGGTGAGTCAGCTAAATAAACGTTTTAACATCTTCTAAAGACAATTCCCTACCTAAATGCAAAGTCTGAGAGACGTGGTTCACTTCCTTTAGCTAGTCAGTCGGTAATTCTGCAACAGTGTCTCTAACTAACGCTGCACTTGTTGACAGCATTACAGCGTGAAATCCAGCTTGTGACCCGGTTCTGTGAGGAATTCTGTTCAGGAGGTCGCATTTCAGGCTCTCCACATCATATGTGACTGACTTTTACGTTATAACAACGATCACACACTAGGAATGTTATAAAGCGCCTATATAGGAGATTCTTTTGTATATTATCTGACTTTATAAACTCCCAACAACAATGTGCTTCTATTTTTTTTTCAGGCTAAATCTACCCAAGACACTGGCTGTCAGACTGATTTAGCTGCAAGAATGTACTTGTCCAGGCAGACGTGAAGCCTTACCTGTAGCAAAGGTGAATTATTTTTAATAATATTCTATGTAAACATTTTATTATTACCTTCTAGTTTTAATTTGTTTTACAGATTATTGTTACACGTGATTTTATGCTCTTTTAAACATTTATAAATGTGCTGCTTCTTTGTTTTTACATAGCCAGCCAGAATGGAGTTCACAGCCGCAGTGTGTCTGGTGACCCACGGGGACCATGATGAAAATTCATCTTCCAGAAGGTCCCAGAGCATCCAGACCCCCTGAAAAGACCAAGATGTAAGGTGTCTGCTGTTGATTCCAGCTTCCACCTCAGTGACAGTGCAAGCTCAGTGAACTGTTCAAGGTAAAAAAAAAAAAATTAAAACATTTCAGAATTTTTAAGATATTAACAATTAAATAAGTATGTGATTACATCATGACATCATGACGGAGGCTACTGATTCTGCCCCTGTGACACTTGGTGGTGACGTGTGAGCTGATTCTCCTGGAAAATAACTTTTACATTAAATATTTTGTTTTTGCTATCAAAAGTAAAGTAACTAATAACCTGCATTATTGCAGGACACTCAGCAAAATATGGACTCTACACCATGAGGCATGCACACATTAATATTCTATAAGAGCACATAAGGTGAGCAACACCACATATTGTACACTGTCCTGAATTTGTTTTCTTTCTGCATCTCATTAGCCTGGCTGATCACCTGATAACTCTGTCATCTGGTTATGACAGCATGAGGATGTCCTCACACACCTGTAACCTATCAGATCATCTGGCAGAATAGAGAGAGAAGAGACAACACCACATCTCCTGTTCCTGGAAAGCCTTCAGCCATCCTTCGATGACTGAGAACCTCCATCAGCTCTGTCTCCTGTCTGCCTACAATTATTATAATAAATATTGTGTTTGACAAGTTTTTTGTGCTGCCAAATATCTCATTTAGATTCCAGTTTTGATATTTTAATGGATATTTATAAATTACATTGAATATCACATTTTTGTTGCATGTTTAACTAGCTCTATTGTGATTAATTAAACTAGCACCTCACTGTTAAAAGCTCGTTCTAATTTCAAGCATGTTTAAGTATTTATGGACATGAACAAAAACAGGAAATATATATATTGAGATTTATTTAATTAATATAACAAATAAGGGGGAAAGAGTCATCGAAAGGCACATTCTTCTGGAAGTTCCTGATCCTGAGGACACCAGCAGAGGAGACCAGCTGCAGACACCAGAGACCAGCTGCAGACACCAGAGGACCTAGAACCGAGAGAGCAGCTGTTATTAGTAAATAAATAAAGAAATCAGGGCAGTTTTAGTGGGCTGAACACATTACAGAATGATTTTCTCATGGGGTATTTTCATAACTTTATATGCAGCAGACTGTAACTTGAGCCCAGGGCTACCGGAGAGCTATCCAGCATGTTTCAGTGGATTTTCCTGCTTTAACAGGTTAGATTAGCTGTTAAGCAGCTCAGCTATTTGTTGCTGATTAAAACCAGGTGTGCTGAAGCAGATAAACCTCTAAAACATGCTGAATACTAGCTTTTTAGGGCCGTGGAGACAAACCCTGCAGCTAATCCAATGCTATGGCTAACGGCTAACTTACCTTTCAGAGGTGATTCTGTTGGGTCGGTTCTGGGAGTTTCAGGCAACTCACAAGCTCAAAACAATAAGACTCAGGTCCGCTTGTCTCCTCCAAATAGACTTGGTCCCTTTCTTCTCGAGTGTCTGTGTAAGGAGGGGGAGAAACATCCTCCACTTCTATCAACTGCTCAGAGTGAAGGGAGCTAGCTTCGTCTAGTTAGCCATCGTCTTCGTCACTGCCGCGGCTCCGCCCTCTCGGTCCTCCAGGCAACGCCTACTAATGTTGCATTTTTTAAAATTGATACGTGGGTGGAGAAGGACTCCGAGGCTCAATTGACCCGCTCTTTAAGGCCCTGTCTACACGTAGCCGGGGATCTGCCAAAACGTAGATATTTTTCTACGTTTTGGCCTGTCATCCACACGAAAACGGATCTTTTTAAAAACTCCGGCCAAAGTAAAGATCTGCATTTTCTCCGTTTTGGGTGTCTGCGTGTGGACGGACAAAACCGGAGTTTTAAGGTCCGCAACGTCACTTTCCGCGACAAAAAATGCTGACATCACGTGTGTGATCTGTGTTTACACTAGCCGACAGCATGGATGCCCTCAGAGCTGCGCTCGCTTTATCAACTGTCCAAGCGCTTTTTGCTTGTTTGTTTTTGCAAGCGGAATTACTGCTCCTTGCGGAAGACCACAGACGAAGGACGAGGTATTAACGGGGGAAGTACTGCCGCCTACAGGTCTGGCATGTCCTTAACAACGTATTTATTCGGGTACGTGTGGACAGAGTTTTTTTTTTAAACGAGGTGGTGTGGATGCAAGTTTTTGGAGGGGCGGATATTCGTTTTTTAAAAAAACCGGTTACGTGTGGACTAGGCCTAGAATCCCACCTGTGGCCACCCAGGTGCTTGTGTCCATTCAGTCTTTAACATACAGAAACACCCTCAATTAACCATATTTGGTCATACCACATCCTCTGTCCGAGAGACCGAAGCGGAACTAATATTCCGCCGAGCGGAACTAATGTTTGTTCCATGCTTCCAGACCGTGCCTTTAATTTATGACGGACATACTTCCGGTTTAACGTTCTGTATGTTGTGCGTGACGGATATAAAAGTGAGTACTAAAGGCGAATATTGATGTTATATTTATGTTCGCTAGTTTGTTTCATGTTTGGTAGCCCGTCAGTCGCAGCTGTTATTCGTTAGCATGTTTAATAGTGTTTAAATGACTGCCGTTAGTTGCTAATGCTAAAGCTAGCCTTATGAGTTCCATGCTAAGTTGGTAACGTACCTTCAGTTACACGAGTATCGGTTATAATTTGTTTAGTTAGCAGTGGGTGTTGGCTATGTCTTAGGCCTAGTCCACACGTAGCCGGGGTTTTTTGAAAACGAATATCCGCCCCTCCAAAAACTTGCATCCACACCACCGCGTTTTAAAAACAAACTCTGTCCACACGTATCCGGATAAATACGTTGTTAAGGACATGCCAGACCTGTAGGCGGCAGTACTTACCCCGGTCTTAACCTCGTCCTTCGTCTGTGGTCTTCCGCAATGAGCAGTAATTCCTCTTGCAAAAACAAACAAGCAAAAAGCGCTTGGACAATTGATGGATCGGGTAGTGACAGAGCGCAGCTCTGAGGGCTTCCATGCTGTCAGCTAGTGTAAACACAGGTCGCACACGTGATGTCAGCATTTTTTGTCGCGGAAAGTGACGTTGCGGACCTTAAAACTCCGGTTTTGTCCGTCCACACGCAGACACCCAAAACGGAGAAAACGCAGATCTTCACTTTGGCCGGAGTTTTTAAAAAGATCCGTTTTCATGTGAAAAAACTCCGTTTTCGTGTGGATGACAGGCCAAAACGTAGAAAAATATCTACGTTTTGGCAGATCCCCGGCTACGTGTGGACAGGGCCTTAGTTGGATTATTTAACTTACGGAAGTCACTTTGTTTCTTCCTAGAGACCACACATATACATACATGTATCCAACTCCAGTTACAAGAGTCTGCTGTTTAATGTCAACGCCAATAAATTCACTGAGAATACTTCTAGTTCGCCTGGTTCTCTGACCAGAACCTCCTGTCCATGTTGACTGCCTCAACCAATCTGTATCCCTTTACTAGTGTAGTGCTACGACATCCTCCGCTCATGAGGGGGATCCCTGTGCCCTCCTCCGTGTTCCTTCCCAGTCCATTGCATGATTTTCCCTTGTGCGGTGGCCCGTTACGGCTGATTTCTTTATTTATTCTTGTCTCGCGGCTCTTGTGTGTCTTCGGTTTGTTTCTTTCTCGCACTCTTTTCTGGGAAGAAGCACGGATCATAAACAGCGAACAACGAAAATACAAAAGATGGAATTAGGAAGCCGTGGAAATAAGGAGACATGGACACGGCCATAAATGGAGACAATGGTTTCTACACGTTGGATCACGCCTGTGACATCAGTGAGGAGAGCGCGGGCAGCAGAGGGCGACATCGTCCTCTGCTGCTCACTGAGAAACGAGAAGGATATGATGCCACCAGCAGCGGCGAAGCTCTGAGGAAGACTACAGTGTTAGTCGAATCGTCAGCAAAAAAAAAAGGCCAAAATAAAACTGGCTGCAGTTAGATGAAACACAGAACAAACGTACAAACGATGTTTAAATTAGCACTTGTTGTTGTGAAATTCAGGCGTTTATATAAGAAGATAGCAACACTTCGGTCTTGTCTAAATCTGGATAAGCTCGACATTTCTCCAAAAACATCCCATCAAGGAAGCCATTTGCAACAAGTAATCGTTTATCATTCTGACGCAGAAAAAAAATTCAAAACAAAACAAATCCCTTTAGCGTTAGACCAAAAGTGTAAGAAGTTCTGTTCACGTTCCCTAAAAACGGGACCAAAATCAGGTCTTGTCAGAACAGCTGACCTGAAAACGCTGAAGGTTGTTCAGGGAGACGTTTTACAGTCGGAATATAAAACTTCCAGCTTCTCCCAAACGTGATAAAATCATCTCCCTGCGTCATCGTGTGGGCTGTAAATGAGTACGCACCGTGTTTGTTATGGAAGAACAAACAAAAAGAAGCCATCTCAACCCGAGATGGATCCACATTGGACGAATCCTCTTGGGAAAGTCACAGCATTCCTGACAAATTCCCTGAAGTTCCTCCTTTATCGGAACAAGAAGATGACTGATTTAGGCTGTTTTTGTGGATGTAATGATGGAGTTAGTAATAGTAGCCAGCGTTGTGGCCTTGTTGAGGATAATTAAGGACTCTGCAGGTGACCAGTGGTCTGCGGTCCGATGCAGAATACCGTACTAACACGATTACAGGTCTATGATGGCCTCTGCACACAACAAAGAACCAAAGGAAGGCCTGCTTCAACAGGAGACAGCGGTGGACCTTAGTCCTGCTTTTACCTGCACTGAGCTGGTCAGACCATTAAGCTGAGCAACTCCCATGAGGAGTTGCTATAATCACAGGTCTGTGGAGCTAATGGAAGCTCATCATACTGTGAAAGGTGCAGTCACACTGACCATAGCAAGATAATGGCTACTTGGCTTTAAAAGTCAGATCTACAACATAATCTGCAATATTGTTAAGTAGAGTACATTATGCAGAGAGAGAGAGAGAGAGGCTTTCAAAATCCCATTACACCCTAATCCTTCCACACTCCCTAATGTATTACCCCAACTCTCAGCGGCCAGAGCCAGGACTTCAAAACAAGCAGAAAAAGCTTTTCTTTTATCCCTTTTCAAGAAAGCAAGTCCTATCTGATCAATACGCATCATGCCCCGTGAGATGGATGAGAATCACTGCTCCAATGAGAGAAGTGATTTTTCTCTGCTGACTCAATTAAGAGGTGGGATCAAAGTGTCTGAGTGTGGCTAAAGGTTACCGGCTTCCACCGAGTCTCAACCAGGGATGAAACGTGTAACTGGTTTTAATGGTTACTGTGGTGTTGTCTCATGTTTCATCAAACTATTTCTAGCCTTAAACCATCCAGATGGAGCATCAGGATTAGTACCATCATCAGAAACCTGCCAAATCTAGTGCTACGCATGTCTGCTGCCCCCTGGTGGAGGATCTACAGGAGGCAAGCGCCACTTTTATTTCTTTACTGCTGTTATATTGGTAATGATTGGAGAATAAAAATGAAGCTGATTATATAGTTGCTACTGATTTGTTTTTTTTTAACTTCATGTTTTTTTTTCTTTTTTTTTCCGTGATTTTGTCAGTTTAACTCATGGACTGACAGTTTAAGGTCCAACAAGTTTTTCTGTTTACATCTTGTTTCCTTCATCTGTACGCCAGAATCACCGTTCAGTGCCTTCTAATTTTATTACATTCTAATGCAGTGACAATAAAAAGCTTTCTGATTCAGATTCAAACTTAAGAATTTTACAGTGAAATAATCACAAAACATGCTGCACAGTGGTGCAGTGGCTAGTGCTGTTGCAGCAAGAGGGTCCTGGGTTCACATCCCAGCCTGGGGTCTTTCTGCCTGGCGTTTGCATTTTCTCCCTGGCGTTTGCATTTTCTCCCTGTGCATGTGTGTGTTCTCTGCAGGTACTCCGGCTTCTCCAATGGTCCAAAATCAAGACTGTTAGGTTCATTGGTCGCTCTAAATTGTCCTTAGGTGTGAGTGTGTATATGCTTGATTGTTTGTCCTGTGTGTCTCTGTGTTGCCTTGCAATCGACTAGCAACCGGTCCAGGGCGTACCCTGCGTGCATGCCCGGAGACTGTCGGAGATGGGCACCTGCCCCCACCCCCCCACCCCCACCCTTGTGAGGATGAGCAGGTAAAGAAAATGGATTTTTACTAATATTGATTTCACCTGACTGAGGCATAACTTCCTGTAAAAGACCTTCACAATAAAAGCACATGGCAAATGAACATGTTTAAACCTTTGAAGCCTAACATACTGTACGTATGTAATGCTAATTTAAAAGCAGCAGCCATGCATTTGCCTACATTTTGCAGTTTTCTGATGAAGGAGCTAATGCTGATGCTATGCTTTAAGGCCGGTGGGTTTGATGAAAATTTACTACAATAATCTACAAGGTTAGAAAAATAACCAAACAACAAAGAAACTCATATTTCTTGACGCTCATTATAAAAAACACACAACTTGATGCTGAGTGTGTCTTGGTTTTGTCCTGCAGAGAGCTGGTTACACGTTTATTTATTATGCTGGCACCTTAATGTCTTTGTGAGCATGGATGTAGGTTTTTTTTGGGGGGTTGGACCAAGCAGAAAACAGTGTGTTGAAGCCTGTTTCCCATTAAAACTTCCTGTAAGGATCCCACCCCCACCCTGGTCCTCATACTGGTTGTGTCCCCCCCACTTCTAAAGTCGAAGCTACGCCCCTGATTGTGAGGATTTTTGTATGATTCTGAAGGGTTTTAAAACTGACGGTGTTAAATTCTGGAAATAAATTTAAAAATAAATGCACTAATCTTCTCCATTAGCATCATCATCCTCATCCTCTTCTCCAGGTGTTTTATACTCACGCAGGGTTGCATTGTTTGGGTTTTTATCCACAGAGAAATTGCATTGTGGTTGCGAGAAGGCCAGCGGCACCTGGATCCAGACGGAGTAACGACCTCCTTCCTCATACGTCTGACTCCACCTGCATCAACACATTTCTCTCAATCTGATTGATTTTGTCCGAACTTTTCCTCACAACTGACCCAAAAGAGAATTGTCAGGGTTTCCTGCAAACTTCTGGAGCACCACCTAGTGTCTGCAGGTGTGAACTGCAGCCCCTCTTATTGTCTCCAGTTTCTCGTGCATTACATGTTTATATTGATCCACTGTTGTGATGACATACTGGCTATCAGTCTGAGTGTTCTTCTCTTTTTTTTTCAAAGAGGAAAAGGAAATCAATAGCAGCACAGTCTGGTTAGAGACCTCACCATTGATCACAAGAGACCGGACCTCTAAGAGAATTAAAATAACAAAAAGCAGCAAAACGTTTGGTACCGAACCCAGCAGGCCTCCCTGTTCATAAATCTAGGACCTGTCAGCCGGATGCATCCGGAGGACATGTGGCTTTCTGCCTTTAAGGAGCTGCATCAATATCAGAATGTCAGGTCTTATTAACCCCCAAAAGGCTTCTAATTGATCCTCAGTAAGGAGGTTTAGAGATCATTCAGGTCTCCAAAGCAGGTCAGACAGCTCCTCCAGACCTGTAAATAACCTCAGACTGCTGATGAAATCACTGGATGCCATCACACCGCGTCACGTCAAGGAAACAACATGAAGTAGACGTGTTACCTGCACAAAGTCGTATTGCTCATTCGTGATTCCACCTGCAGCGAGAGGGTGAAAACTGTGCTGATTGTTGCAGACGAGTTGTTGTTGGGCTTCACTGTAACGAGCTGCTGGTACACACACTGAAAAGCAAAAATGAAAGGTTTGGAAACAATAATATTGTTAAGAAAACAACAAGTTTTTCTTTAGAGTGGTTAAGATGGTGATTATAGCGTTAGCTTTGGTAGACTTAAAATGTTTGTTACCCTCAGGGCGTGCCCTCTCTGACAACCATCTTGGAGCAGCTAAAGAGGGAGCCCACCTCAAATGCGGCCTTTTTATAGGAAATGTTTGACCGTGATTGGAGGAAACTTCAGATGAGTGGATGGAGAACTCATTCTCATTTACAACAACGATGTGGTCAGCAGCAACGGACACTGAGGCCCTGTCCACACGTAGCCGGGGATCTGCCAAAACGTAGATATTTTTCTACGTTTTGGCCTGTCATCCACACGAAAACGGAGTTTTTTCACACGAAAACGGATCTTTTTAAAAACTCCGGCCAAAGTGAAGATCTGCGTTTTCTCCGTTTTGGGGGTCTGCGTGTGGACCGACAAAACCGGAGTTTTAAGGTCCGCAACGTCACTTTCCGCGACAAAAAAATGGTGACATCACGTGTGCGACCTGTGTTTACACTAGCCGACAGCATGGATGCCTTCAGAGCTGCGCTCGCTTTATCAATTGTCCAAGCACTTTTTGCTTGTTTGTTTTTGCAAGCGGAATTACTGCTCCTCGCGGAAGACCACAGACGAAGGACGAGGTTAAGAACGGGGGAAGTAGTGCCGCCTACAGGTCTGGCATGTCCTTAACAACGTATTTATCCGGGTAGGTGTGGACAGAGTTTTTTTAAAGAGGTGGTGCGGATGCAAGTTTTTGGAGGAGCGGATATTCGTTTTTAAAAAAAAACCCGGCTACGTGTGGACTAGGCCTTAGTTAGCTTTACACCAAAGAAAAACTGGTAAGATAAAAAAAAAGCAAGCCATAAATAAGATAAAACAATTAGACATAACGACATAAAGGACCGTTCTCGTTTACAATATGTACAATCAAAACAGACTTAAAACAGTCTTTAAGTACTCAGAAACACATTGATAAGAAACTACTGATCACTATCAATTATTGAAGGTAGATAATGAAATGTAGGTAGTGAACTTCAGTGGTTTCTGCAGCTCATTCCAGAGTAGTGAGAGCCTGTGAAGGGCTCAAATGCATGCGTCTCACGCTCAGTGCATTAGCTCTGGCAGCCCTGTCTGTCAGGCTTTTCTAATCCTAGAATTTCAGGAAATAGGGGTAGAAGACTGTAGAAAATCTCAGAGAGTGATTTAATTAGAAATATAATAAAAAATAGGTTTTCCAGTGAACCATACCTTTAAGGACCTGCCACCCAGTTATTTCACATCCAATAAATCTTTTTCAGCAAAGACGCAGACAGTTTTGTGAACTGCTGCCACCTACAGGCTTGGCGTGCCTATTACAGTAATGTGCATCAAAATGCTCTGGATGTTTTTGCCGAAAACGAGGTGGGCTGAGGAGGTGTTAGAAAAACGCGGCTGCATGGCCTGAGTCTCATGTTCTTATGTCTAAAATGTTGCACTGCCACCATAAAGTCACAGAATTCTGTTATTAAGTGGAATTTTATTTATTACAGGAGTTTTTCCAAAGCTGCAAGAGGAGAAACAGAAGAAAATCACAGTGGTGCTTCCACGTTTATTCACCAACTCCTCGATCAAGTAAACGCTGAAAAAGCAAAACACAATACATCATAGCTGGAGCGCAAATGACGAACTTTCCTCTGAGCAACATATCTGCTGTTTGGTTTCCATAGCAAAGCCATCAAATCTAAATAAACCTACCGGACTTTCCTTTTACTGGTTCTCTCTGTGGAGGTGGGTCATCCTCACCTTGTAGCAGTGATCTGATGTGTAGAAGATCTGCACTTCTTCTGGAAGCTGGTTGTGAAACGTGAGCAGAGCCTGGTCCATTTTCAGAGCAGGTCCTGCTCAGATTCAAAAACAGTTCTGATTTATGGACTGTACACAAATCCTCCAGCACACCATAAAATACACGGCAGCAGAAGGGCGTTACAGATCACTATCCTTCTCTAGGTCCCAGAAATAACTGGATCTGCTTGTTTGATGCTCATAATACTGACTTGTTCTATTAATTATTGAACTTTTGTATTGATCATGATTGATATTTCGTCCCACTGCGTGCAAAAACCACAACACAAACACTTTTTGAATGTAAAAAGTTACAGTCTGTCTCTGTGAGACTGCTGATACTCACCATCCAGATGCAGCTCGTCGTTCCTGACGTGTCCTCCGTAACTCCAGGTAACGAGGAATAACAACGGCAGACTCGCATGTAGGAGTCTGTTGGATTCCATGTTCCGTCTTCTAAACAGCCCCTTCTACTGTTCATCTTTATAACTCTCACAGCGGCATAAAAAGAGCCCAAAGGTCAGCGGGCTAATGAGCGGCTGGTTGTGGGTCGGCTTCACGTTCAGGGCTAAGAGAATCAGCAGATGCTAAAATGATTTGTGGCGGAGTCGGTAAACACAAACGATGACAGGCTAAGCCTGAAAGTCTAAAATTGCAAGAATTGAGGTCAATCTGAAGGCAGAAGTGATTTAAATTTTACTGAACGTGACAAAAACCTTTTTAAAGTATTACCGTGAATCAGCGAAACCCACCAACGTGCCTTTACTACCGGGAGCAGAAATGTGAGTACAACTCGAGTCTGGTCACATTCTGATGTGTGGTCAAACTGCACCTTTTCAAAGATCTTCCCTCGGGCCCTGACTGATCTGTAGATAAGCATGATGCCTGTATACACGCAGGTACTGATTATCTTTACAGCAGATACAATCTACTAAATAGATCACTAAACAAAAAAGGAAGAGTACTAGCATTTTGCTGTGTGGTACTTTGACGTAATATTGAACATAAAAAGTACAAGATACAGTTTTTCTCAGTCGCTTTGGTGCGTTTCTCAGAACACTATCAACACACTAACAGCACAGCAGTTAGTGCATTTCTCAAAACAGTTAGTGCAAACTGCAAAACCTGGTGGATAGCCTGCAAAAGCACGTCACATGCTCAGAATTGACAATCCATTCCTCAAAAGCAAGTATTCATGTCAATGAAACGGTCGGTGGCATCAAAATGAAAAGTCTTGACACCATCTCTATGAACAAGATAGTCAAATGGCTTTGTCATGTTTTCACTATGACCGTTTATAATTTCAGTGTTTTCCATTGCAAGAATATTCGGTGAAAATGCTCCAGACAGCACTGTGCCATACTTGTACAGCCACTTGAAATGTGCAGGAAAGTTACTGTAGATGTTACGGGAGTTTGGGGAGTAACTGAGACACTGAATGCGTACGTTTTACATTTTTACTGTATAGAAGTGTTTCTACAGCATTGTGCAAAAGCAAAATGTGCTACAGTCACTTTGTAATGGAGACCAGGGGTTCCATTCATTATGATTTATGTGTTTCTGATTGAGTTCCAGACAAAAGGTTTTGTTATTGAAGTCGTTTATTTTGTGTTTGACATTTGAAACAGATTCTTTAGAAGCAGAGGGACTGGCCACCCTTCCTGTGTAAAGAGGAAATGTTGGTTAAATGTCAATTTGTGTTTAAGTTGACCTCCAAAGTTTCACTCACCTTTCTGGTGGCGTCTCCTCAGCAGGGCGGGGCAGCAAAGGGACGTTTGTGTCCCAGGTGCTGCTTTTAAGCTGCTGGAGCATACCACTTAAATAAGGAGGGGCGATTCTTGGAGGAGTCGTGTGAAACCTAGTTTCTGTCGTTTGAACTTGGATTTATTTAGTATGATTTGTATTTATGTAAATAATGTTAGGTGCCATTTATTATTTTGGTGGTTGGGTTCTGTAAATATTATTTAGTTATTATTTCTTTGATTACCCCTCTTCTTGGTTTCTTCCAATCAGTCACTTAGTTATAAAAGGCAGTGAGTGTTGGTGTTAGGTGGATGTTGGTGTTGGTGACAATGCGTGTTGCAATAAAGCCACCTCAGCCTGATTTATTTGTTTGCCTCTCCTTCAAACCACGTGCTGCCGCCGGTCAAAACTGACACACTTGTTTACTGTAGAATACACGTAAACATAAAATCACCCTTTTGGTAGAGCTGTGCACAAATGTGAACAATATACAGTACATGTAACAGTACACACAGTATTGCACAGTACTGTAACATACAGGTACAGTAAATCATTCTGGCACATCCAGACGTTCCTGTCCGTCCGTCTGGCCACATGTTTTCGTCTACATCACAACGGATGTCATCCCTCGCAACGCAGCGAGGAAAGTATCTCCTGGAGTGGCGAATCCATCCTCTGCAGGACTCTGCTGTGATGTTGTCACATGCTGCATCCATGGCTGCTCGCAGGGCCATTTGCTCATGTGGATGCCGGTCATCAACTTTCCACCTCCAGGCAGAGAGAAACTCCTCTATCGGATTAAGGAATGGGGAATATGGAGGGAGATATTCAACCAGCATTCTTTCATGTGCTGCAAACCACTCTCTGACCAGATGGGAGTGGTGAAAACGGACATTATCCCAGACAACAACATACTTGCTGAGTTGGCCTCCACCCCTCTCATTCTCAGGGACTAGGTCCGTGTAAAGAGTGTCTAAAAATGTCAGGAGATGTTGGTATTGTATGGACCAAGAAGGGGGATATGGGTGAGATGGCTGTACACATGGTAATATTCCCTCCGCGCTGACCAGGGACTTCAGCGGTTGCTCTCTGTCCAATGTGATTTCTTCCATGCCTTCTGCCTTTGGCCAGATTGAAACCTGCCTCATCGACAGATATGAATGTGTGCAGTGGTTCCCTGGCTTCCAGCTCCAGGACACGCTTGAGAGAGAAACAGAAATGCAATTTCACAATCGTCCTGTGTACAGCAACAAACAGTAATGCATGCATTTGGTAAAACACATTGTAGAGTATGTTTTGTAGAATTGCTAGTGTACTGCATGAAACTACAAAACAGATAAACTCTGTAGTGAGGTCTTGTTTTTATCAGCTTCGCCGCCTTACTCACCTCAGACGAATCCTGAAACGGAGGCATTTGGAGTCAGTCATTCATGCATTCATTACCTCTCGCCTGGACTACGCAAACGCCCTCCTCATTGGTGTTCCGGACTCTGCCCTGAATCGGCTGCAGGTTGTTCAGAACGCTGCTGCCAGGTTCTTGACGGGTACACACCGACGTAGCCACATTACCCCTGTCCTGACACATCTTCACTGGCTCCCTGTCATTTTCAGAGTGCAGTTTAAGTTACTGACTTTTGTTTTTAAAGCACTCAGTGACCTGGCACCTTCCTACCTCTCTGCCCTTCTCACTCCATATGTGCCCACCCGCTCGTTGAGGTCGGCTGACCTTTTGCTGCTGCACACGCCGCGGATGAGACTCAAATCGCGGGGGGACCGAGCATTTGTCCATGCTGCCCCAAAGCTATGGAACTCATTGCCCATTGGAGTTCGGCAGGCTCCATCTCTGGCGGTTTTTAAATCTCGTTTAAAGACCCACTTTTACACTTTGGCTTTTAGACAGTGACTCGTTTTAGTGTTTTATTGTGTCATTGTTTTAATGTGTTCTTATTATTCATGTTTTCTCTGCTTTTAATTGAGATTTTTATCCTTTGTTTTAGCTCCTTGTAATGGGTGTGTTTTGTTTTAGCCTGTGCAGCACTTTGGGCAGCTCCCAAGCTGCATTTTAAATGTGCTATATAAATAAACTATGCTATGCTATGCTATGCTATGCTATGCTATGCTACTGTTACAGTGCTGAACATAGAAGACCTGCTTTACCTGCACATACTGGTGACGGATCTCCTTCACTCTTTCACAGTTTCATTCGAACGGCACTTTATACAATTGCTTCATGCGGATTTCATTTTTTTTTTTAGAACTCTGTCGATTGTTGAAATTGAAACTGATTCAATATTGCCAAATACCGTCTTATTCTCTATGACACCGCTCTGTATTTCTCTCAACTTTATTGCATTGTTTGCAATGACCATTGCACAAATGGCTTCCTCTTGCTGTGGGGTGAAAAGGGCCCTCTTCCACCTCCGTGAGGTAGTCTTTCAATCCTATGTGGTGCAGAGTAAAATTACAGTAAAATTACAAATACAGTACAGTAACATGAGATATGTATGAGATGGTACAGTACGGTAAATTACTGTATGCATACCTGTTTTCCCTACGGAATGTTTGAATGATTGAACTGACAGTAGTTCTTCCAATATTGGGTTGCACCCTTCGACCAGCCTCCTCCATGGTGAGGCCGTGATTGACAACATGGTCCACAATTGTAGCTCTAATTTCATTTGGAATGTGCCGATATCTCCCTCTTCCCCTTCCCCTTCCTCCCCACATCCTCCCCCCTCTTCCACGATGCTGACCTTCCAATTTGTGTCACAGAAGTGTAGAAATGGTACACACTAGCTCCTGCTCAGTTCATATATGCTTGCCAGTGGAGGATTCACCTCCTCATGAGTGACAGCTGAAATTCACCTATGTTCAATTGTTCAATTTAGGAGACATTTCCAGGAAAAAAAGATAAAGAAAGGTATAGAATTTGCTCGACAGATGACTAATATTTGACATTTGATAACTAGTTCAACAGTTTTGTGTAATGAAAGTAAGACTATTAGTTTTATTCAGAACGACTATTCAGCATCCATAAGTATAATTAATTTTGACTGACATGACATGAGCAAATGGAAATGTCAAAAAACAGCAGAGAAATGTATGAAAGCAACTGATACATGTCCAAAAGCACAAATGACTAAACGTTTTGGAGGTTGAACTAAAAGTTATGAGAATTTTAATTCTGTTCTGAGAAACGCACCAAAGCGACTGAGAAAAAGTGTAATATTACACCATCTAGCCCAGGTGTCAGGTCCAAACTGGTCTGAAAGAAACCCTGGAATAAAAATCCACGTTCCAGTAATAATCAGCTCTAGTTTATAGCAGTCAACAAATTCTTTTACACCCAGATTTCACAATTTCTTTCAGATACAAAGATTCTGAGAAACATCTAGCTTACATCACACCACCTACACATCACACTCCATCACCGCACATCCACTCCATCACATCTCATTATTCATATCTTGTCAATTCAATTCAATTCAAGTTTATTTATAAAACGCCAAATCACGACAAGAGTCGTCTCAAGGCACTTCACATAATAAACATTCCAATTCACAGTTCATTAAGCCAACCAGAAATAATGTTTCCTATATAAGGAACCCAGCAAATTACATCAAGTCACTGACTAGTGTCAGTGACTATACAGCAATCCTCATACTAAGCAAGCATAAAGCGACAGTGGAGAGGAAAACTCCCTTTTAACAGGAAGAAACCTCCAGAGAATCCTGGCTCAGTATAAGCAGCCATCCTCCACGACTCACTGGGGATGGAGAAGACAGAGCACACACACACACACACACACACGCACGCACGCACGCACACACACACACACACACACACACACACACACAATAATGTGTCTATAGTTATATTGTGATGTCTTAGTAAATGTATTTATCCTAGTGGATCTATAATTAAACGGGTAAACTAGCAGTAACACGTCCAATGTCAAGGAAAGCATAAAGTTATTATCAGGAGAGGGAGAATGTTTAAGCGGTTAGCAGCAGTGTGCTAGTCGATGGCCCCCTCCATGAGGCCGCCACAGCTCAGCAGAACATCGTTGTCATGTATAATCATTAGTTTAGAAAAGAATAAAACTCCTTTTCATACCTGACTCTGTCTGAAATGAGACGAAGTGTGTTTATGGTCCCTGAACAAGTAAAAGCAACTATAATTCTAAGATCAATCAGATTGATATTTCATATTTATATGGAATCATCACATCTTATTGGTCATAATTAATTTGCAGTTGTCACCAGAGGCGGAGCTGGCCTAAATGGCGCCCTGTGCGAGATCCCCCGTGACCCCCCCCCCCCCCCCACACACACACACACACACACAGACACACACACACACACACACTCCTGCGGAGAAATATAGCATTTCCATAATTTTAAATGCAGTTTTTACATCAAAAGATGGATTTAATAAATGTGAATTCAAACAAATATGTTAAATTAAAAATACATACAGAGGTAAATATACAACAGCATTGTACACGACCACAAACAGTTATTTACTTAATCATTTAGAAAGGAATTGGTCTACTAAACAGCAGCAGGATCAGCGCAGTTTCCATTATCAACCAGCGGGGCAAACTGGTTACACACACACACACACACACACACACACACACACACACACACACACACACACAAACACACACACACACAAGAAAAAAAATTACACCTACAACTTTGTTTCAAATTGCGTGGAGTGTATTATATATAACAACGTTTGCTAACTGAATACAACATCCAGCTCCTGGCCACCTTCTCACCACTTGTCAAAGTTCTACTGAATTAGTGATGATGACAACACCTGCCATCGCCTTCATACCTGGGAAATATGAAAGTAGTTGGCACCTTGGTAGGTCCTCCTCGAACTAGCTTTGTGCGTATGCTGTCGGTAATTGGTGATGGCCACTTGGCTGGGTCTGAAGAAAGAGGCTCATCATCACCTTCAATGGGACTCATTGGTTGATCGTTCAGGCTTCTCTATTGACAGAAAACAGAAGCGTAACTCAACACATTGCTATGTGGACCATTTCACATATTCTATTAAAATACAATATGTGACATTCAAATTTCTCTAATGTTTGCAGGACACACACACACACACACACACACACTTGTGCAAAACTTACCTGACATATCTTGTTGGGGAGACGTGGCAGCTGGCTGTCCCTCATCAAGTTCACATATACTGGTAGGTCTCTCTATTGACAGAAAATGGAAGCATAACTCACCACATTGCTATATGGAACAATTCCCATATTCTGTGAAAATACTATTTAAATGTCTATAGCTAAATGTTTTCTGGACACACACACGTGTGCAAAACCCACCTAAAGTATCTTCCTGGGGAGATGTGGTGCCAGCAGACTGTCCCTCCTCGAGTTCAAATACTGGCCTACTGGTATGAGCCGTGGAGGTAGATGGCTCTTCCTCAGTGGCAGCTGATGTCATCCCAAAATATCTGTGTAGGGCTCCTGATGTTGCATAAAACAAACAATACAATCTTCATGTCACATCTGTTGCTTCAGCATTTTAATTAACATGTTACAATGAGCATTTACAGTTTTCAGCAGTGGTGGAAAGAATTCTGAAAATCTGTACTCAAGTACAAGTACTGTTACATTGCTAAAATATTACTCATTTACAAGTAAAAGTACTGGTGTTAGAGAAATACTCAAGTAAAAGTACAAATTATTCATAAAAACCTCAGAGTATTATTTATTTTTAACGGCTGATGTCACCATCACTTCTCCAGACTGGGGCTGCCTGGAAATTGTGTGTTTTCCTTTGCCAAAAGTTAAAACACCAACAATCTATTAATCATTAATAATTGATAGAATACAAAACAAGTGTTTTTCCCTAATTTTTTTTGTCATTTTAAGCTTTTATTTCCTTATTCAGCAAATGTCTCCGGCACACAAAGAACTAAATGACCAGAGGAGCCACAACTATTGATTAAATATCCATGAATCCATTTTAACTGGTTAAATTCTTCAACTCTCCCACGCTGCTTCAAGGTCACTGTGAGTTAACATAGCCGCGGTGTGCTGTGCAGTACACTTAACGCAACACGATGACATCATCGACTTGTACAGTGCTGAAAGGCGAGACAGTCTCAACTTTCAGCTAAAAAAAAGACCGCTCTAGCTATTATAGTTTTTATTTTATGGCAGTTTACAGTTTAAACGGGATCTTACTAGCAGGGCACCTCCAGCGGCCAGCTGCCGCTCCTTTTTTTGTGGGATAAATAATACGTAGCTCATTTCCCGAGTCCAAAAAGAAAGGCGAATGGCGCCGGCGCGAGACCTGCCGCCCGCCGTCAATGTATTTCAGCAAAATTCTCAAAGACTCATTTTAATTTGATAGCGTTTGGTTATCAGCCTTTCGGTTTTCCCACTCTTGGCTTTTCATAAAAGCTCATTTGACAAAGAAAAA